ACACTACAAAGGTTTTGTATCATTATCCAGGGTAAATTCTTCAGCTTTCTTTTTCTCCCAAAAGCAGAATGGGACAACCAATGAATTTGGCTCACTCCCCCTTTACTGGTATAAAAAACAATGCAGCACCTATGAACAAAAAGCCTAACATTACATGTTATAACTATATTAATCATTCAACATATTTACCTGCATAATATAGTTTGCAGCTTGGTATTCAGTAAAGCGCTTGTTGGGTTGTGAGCAAAGCACCTTGTACATCTCTCCATATCGTGCATATTCAAGCATGAAGTATACACGTTTCTCACAGTGGAAATACCCATACATTCGGAGAATATTTGGGTGTCTATGGGGGCAGAAAGGAAACATGAATATAACATACCCTTCGCTTCACTTGCAGCCCCACTTTTGCATATGTATGTAATCATGTTAGTGTCCCATCCATTTTTTGAAACAGCTTAATGATGTCTCACTATTCCAGATATGGTATATGAAGCCAACCACATTTGTTACCTTAGATGGGATTGGATCTCTGCTTCTCTGCGTACTTGGTGGATGATTCCTGCCTTCATTAGCACAGACTTAAATAGCACCTGCATAAAAGAAAAGTACAAGGCTGTGTAATAATGATAGAATACACATAGAATGATATGCAAACATGGGCATTTCATTACCACTGAATAACCACTTAAAGGAACTGCCCACCCTATTGCATCATCCTAGAGATTAGTAAGCATGTTCCTCTATGAAAATGTTACCTACATCCTTTTCAACAAGGGACTTTTTTTTCCTATGCTCACGCACACATTCATACAAACATACATGTGCATTCACACACACACATGTACATGTGCACTCATGCACAGACACACACACGTACATGTGTGCGCACAGTTTGCAACATGGATTGCTCATACCACTCTTCCAAGTAAACAAATTATACAATTATTATCTGCATATATTCAAGAAAGAAGAAACTAACCTTCAAAGCCAACACAGTATGAGTCTTTTTCTCTCTTGCTAGATACACATTGCCAAACTTGCCCTTCCCCAGAGGACGGCCGATTTCAAAATCGTCCAACACCCATGGTCTCCTGAAAAAGAAAAAAAATAATAAGCTATGCTGCTATGTATTCAAACAGGGATGCTATTACAAGCATTTGCACAAAGCAGAAAAAAAATGGAGATAAGAGAACTGGTCTGTATGTAACACAAATGGAGTAAATTACTCAATGAAACAGACAACATCCTGGTATGTTCACAAGAAATATCTATACAAATACATTTTTCTGAAACATTAGGTCAAGTGAGAAAAGGGGAACAAATTTGCTAAATTACTTTGTTATATTACTATTATATTTTTAGTTATACAACCCAACACTTGCTCTCATATTACATTGCAAGAAAATTGTTTTATGAATTTCAGCAAATTAGAAGGAAGATTTGTTATAATTCAAGAAGCAATTTTCAATGGCATAGTAGCTTAAAAAATTAATTAATTCCCCCCAACCCCCATCACCAGCCACTCATGCACAAACTTGCAATCAACTTTTAAGTGGCAAATTTACTTAATACAGCATTTCCCCTATTACCTGCTAAAATGCACCACAAGCGCATAAATAATCATTTTGTGTGCAGGAAGGCTAATAACCCCAAACAACTAAATTTCATGTTAGAAGAGACTTTCTGCAAGCAGAATTTGCTTCTAAATTGAGGAAAGTTATAGGGATAAAAGTTTTGGGGTTAGTGGGGGTTACAGAAACCTCTATGCTTTTTTGATCAGGCCAAAAAATAAGAAATCAACATACTTAGAGGATTTTTTTTCCGATTCATCAGGACCCCATTCATCATCTATCTTTTCATCTGTTTCCTGTGTCTGCTGAGTCTCTTGCTCCTTAGCTGTATTTTCTTGGGTAGCAGAATCATCTGTGTTTTTAGTTTGTTTTTCACCATCTGTCTCTTCAGGTAGGGTTTTTGTTTGGCTGTCTGGTTGATCAGAGGAGGACTTTGTTTCATCTTGTTCTTTGGTTTCACTGACTGTTGCAGATTCCTGTGAGCCAATTGGTTCTGTAGGTTTCTGTTGCTGACTGGCTACTATTGATGTTGGACCATCGTCCAAGGGTTTGTCTATGGTGTTTGTTGAAACAGGCTCCGCAGTTACAGGCTCTGTAGCTACAGGCTCCTTGGCTAATGATGTTAGTTCTTGCTTTGTTGGTGCAGTAGACTTGTTAATTTGTGATGAAGGCACGTTTCTTTCTGATGCATTTCCTGTCTTATGAAGCACTTGACCTAAAAATAATATAATAAGATAAATCCTGTCCAATAAAATATCAAATTTCTATACATTTTTTTTCTTCTTTCTTTTTTTTTTCTTTATGAAGTTTCACATTCAAAATACAACTGAATATGGGCTAAAAGGTTAGAAAGTTTTCTGGATTCACTGGTCAATCTTTGAAACTGTTCAGCCATTTTACTTTATTGTTTATGATTACATAATGCATTACATGCAACCAAGAATACAAAACACGGCAAAAGATCTATTAAAAAAAAAAAAAAAAAAAAAAAGTCCTACACAAGTACAAGAAGTGTTCCAGATTTTCAAAATATTACCTGACTTCAGCTGAGCATTTCCCTTATGGTCTCCTGCCTGTTTGTGCAGAGGATTTACACTTCTTATAGATGAACCCACAGCTTTAGTGCCCATCTGTGGTCTTGGAGCCTTTTTGTCTATGCCTGGCCGAGTATTACTTGCCACTCGGTTTACAATGGGCTTGTTTACTGCAATGGAAAAGTCACAAAACTTGCTAAATTAAACTAAAATTAAAAATAAATAAATAAATAGTTTTCCAAAAAAGCAAGTAGCTAAGTAGCTTTCATTTTCTTTCTAGTAATTAAGATTTTATGCAATATCAATAATACTAATAACACTAGTACTACTATTAATATTAATAATAAGAAATAATAATCTTAACCCATTCGTGCCATATAAAAATGAACAAAAATGGGGAAAATGTTATGCTCATTTTTTTATGAAATTTCTCTACACTAGATGGCTCTGCCTTACCTGATTTTACCTTTACTTGAATTGGCGGGAAAATATATTTTACTAGTGTTACAAATATCTATGGTTATTTTTATTATAGACATTATTATAAACATTAGTAACAATAAAATAAAATAACGCAAAATAATTTTGTAAATTAAAGAAAAGGGTAAACAGGCAAGACAGGCAGGACAAGTACAAGTGTAGCCATCTATGTATAAAAACAATTAAACAAGTAAACTCACAGTGAGCCCGTCATGTATACGTGACGCCCGGCGTGAATGGGTTAATAATAATAATAAAAAATAATATTCTTAATAATAATAATAATAATAATAGGATATTCCTTAACAAGAAAAAGTAAAAGTTCATCATATGTCTGATCAACATACTCACAACATACAACATTGGTTTTCTTTGGAACTTATGGGGTATAATTTCTTTATATATAAACTACATCCAAATTTATGTATATCAACAAAACCAAGGAGCATTTATGAAATAAATAATGAAAATTCAAATTTTCTTTACATTATGCACTTCTCACCTAATACCATAGCAACATCCCATGATCTAAGGGGGAATTTCAGAAAACACTATAAATGACTAAAGTTATTAAATGTCCATTCACATCTGTAAACAAAACTAAAGATGTGAAGTATTACACACACTATATGATTTAACATTAATTTCAATGAAACCCAAGGTCTTAATTCCTAACAGTTTTCATTCAGCCTTAAATATATCCACCACTCAAGTAATTATACTAATGCTGGTTGACAACTGGTTTTCTAGCATCATTGTAATCTGGAAGGTGCCTACAACTAATCTTGCCGAATAAATTTTGTTATGGCCTTTTTAAAAAAGGAACCATAATTTAGGTTAGAAAATCCATTTTCAAAAGAATGGTCTGTTTTACTTAAAATTCATACATGATCATTGTCCACATATTCCAAAACCAAAATGAGAATCAAAACTGCCAGAGACAGGAACATTAGGGGTGCATGATAGAATACTGAACTTGGTTTTCACTTTATGGCTCTTCTACCCATGCCTAGCACTCAAAATTGAGTACATGTTTGGTAATATGGAAAAACCAATATCATGGTACGTCATGGCAGCCTTCTGACCAGCAGAATGGGAAAGCAAATAGGAGCTAAGTGGATGAAACTGAGGTCAGGGATAACACCATATGTGCCAAGCCACCAACCCCAGTCTCTCTTGGGTCATGCCCACTCCTCTTCAACACTGTCCTCATGAACCATCATCCGTTCCAGCATTAACTGGGGCCGAGATTAGGGCTAGATGTCAGGAGGTTATAATAAAATTGCGCAAAATATAAATAGGAATGCCTTACCAGTGTTTGAAAAAGCCAAAAAATAGTACATGCATCAGACAACACCTCCAAACAGTAGCAAAATAAGAAATTTGAAACTGCTTTTGTAAAATATTAGTGCTAGGAAACTGATTGTCAACCTGAACTGTATAAGCATTTCTCAGAAACACCCAAAAACTACACACACAAATTTCAGTCAGATACTGAACCTGCAGAGGATATAGCACTGCTCTTTGGGTGTGTTGATTCTGTTTTGATGTTGCGCTGAGCTGAGGATACTGTGTTTGAACGTGATGGTGCAGCCTGTTTGTGTGACACTGCTTGGCTACTGCTTGACCCTGCTATGAGTGGAAAGGTCTTAGCTATAGAGCTTTGTTTCATGTGCATGAACTGGACTCCTTTCATTACCTTTATTATTTATCAATATCTTCTCTTTTAATACAGATTAGAATCTATATAAATAGGGTATGAAGGGAATAGCAAATGAGGATAACATGAGGTTACTGGCTATGTTTTTTACCCACTTGCACCAAGTGCATGCACTGACATCTTTATTCTATTTTTACTCCATAAGAGCTTCTTAAACCAAAGAATTAATTATTAGGCCTAATTCATCTTACCCGTTTTCCTCACCCTCTAATTTTTAAAATGCCTTTATCATCATCATAATGTTATTAACCAATGACAGTTGTAATAATGATCATTTCTATTTTTGTTTTTTTTTCAAAAAATCAAGTAATGGGGTAAGCTGGTGAAATCAAGAAGCCTCAATAACCAATTCCTTGGTGACAAAGTACTTCTCTATATATGGGTAAACAAAATCAACAGGGAATCTATACATGCACAATCAGTATCAATGGGTTAAATCAACTCATGACTGATTAGCATCATCATTTAGTGGCTTACGTGACACCTGGGGACCCATCCGAGGCATAATAACAGCAGTTGGCTTGTTGGCTGGTATGGGGTTCAACAACTTTCTAGAGGAGACCGACTTGTGTGTTACAGATTTTGCTGTAAACAGAAAACTTCATCTTAGCCTCAACACTGATTAAACATTTAATGCTACATTATTCTCTAATATATATCAAACTAGAGGTTAATGAGCAATAATCAAAAACCTTCAAGTTTGTAATTTTCTTTAAATGAGCTCTATCGGTTTGTCCTAAAATGCTTTTTTTTCTCTCAAATAATTGCAATTCAAACTCAGAACAAGTACCAGGATTTTTTTTTTTCTTTTTAGAAATCAAGGAATAGTTTTAGTTTCTTAAAGCCATATGGTACAAGGTAAATGTAATGGACACAAAATTATAAAAACTTTTCCTATATGGCTTTCCCTTATAAGTTCTTGATAATAAAGTTATATATATAAGTATACAGTTAAGTCATTCCAAGATTTACGCCTTACAGAAAAAGAACCAATACCAAAAGCAAAATTGCATCCAAGAGACTTGTTCAGTATAAAAGCTCTCCTTACCAGTTGATTTCGATGGCCCATAAGAATGGCTGGACACTGTGTGGGTGAGGGGCTTGTGGAGCCCTCGACCAACCCTGGTCATGTTCTCCTTCTCTTCTCCCTCCATCATCATCTGAAGTAGCAAAGGCATATATTCAAATTACTATATAATAGAATGTTGTGCATAAAAGATTCAAAACTCCCTCTAATAAGGTAAACACCAAATTACAACACTGGTATACTTGCATTTGCAGTTCACTCTTAATTGCTACAGAGAATATGTAACTCATTCTTTCAATATATCAACAAAAGTATACAAAAGGACCACAACAACTTAAGATTATTATTATTCCTTCTTTCAATTATCAATGCTGTAATATGTGACACTTGTTATTTTTAATCACAAATGATGGAAATGAAAAAAGTGGGGTAATTCTTTACATTGCGGATGATTTCGCCACACCACACGCCTCAGGAGCACCAAGCGCACGGTTAATGTTACCGAGAGTGACACACAGACAGAGGGAAATGGATCCTTCCATCTTATAAATCACAAGAAATAGTCATACACAACACAAGTACAGCTGCTGCAGCTACAAAAAGACGAACATATGCGCTGTATATTACCAGTAGAGACAGTCTACATCACACTTATGCAGCCAGAGTTTTTAATGTCACATTTTCTATAATTTCTCCTCACTGCACTGAATGTACATCAAATAGTTTATATAACAAAATTACTGTAGCAGTTGGCACAAAGTACTAATAAAGGTGGGGGTAAAGGGGGCTTGTCCACCCCTGTCAAGGAAATAAATAGGCAATAGGAAAGGTTGGGTTAGGTGAGCAGTGCTTTCTACTATATTTGTGGCATTATTTCTTGCGTCTACAAATTATTTCTTGTACGAACAACCGCAACTTTTAGTCCTCACCCCCATGGACTTCCTCTCCAGCCTCGTTGTGACCTATTTTCTTTATTTCTGACAGTTTTGGCCTCATTATTTCATGTATTTCGGTGTAATTTTTCTCTGACTCTTATAGTACCTTTACATTTACATACTTTTTCACCCGATCTAGAACAACAGTAAGAACAGAAACCTAGTAACTGGTTTTCAAAAATATTACAATTCAAAGTCGAAGCACGTTACCTTTGCTTATGAAGTTTATATACTACTAATAAAGTCTTCCTCAAAAAAAAATAGCTCACATAATTATAGCTTATATAATTGCGGCGCTTCCATTGCCTTAGAAAAAGAAATGTCCAAACCTCGAGAAAGAAAGAAAGAAAAAGATTTAACAAACTGGGGATTTAAAAGCTGCTCTCCCAACATGGTGAGGTCATTCCTGGACATTTATCCCGTTATTTCTCCAGCAGTCCGCCAATCCTTCCACCTTTTTCTCAACTTTCCATAACCCCAAGATTATTTTCTATCTTCGTGATAAAACCGATACACCAAAACTCACGTCTTTGGCAGTTTAATTTGGATTTTTGTGAAAGTAAGTCCGCGGATGTTGTTCCCTCGCCGGTTTAAACTCCTGTTCTGTTGACGTTTTGGAGGTTCTCGCCGCTGATTGGCTTAGAGAAGGTCGTGGTCTTTGGATTGGCCGGAGAGACCTCGTGCGATTGGCTGATTCCCTAGCGCTGGGATAAGAGGTCCTGTCTGATTG